GTTGATACATATATTGTCACACCTTATCACTTTTTTGATTTTGACGACACAGAAAACGACCACCCAATTTATATGAATTTGAAAATAAACAGGTCTTGATACTGTGATAGAACACTAAAGTTTCGAGCCTAAATCCAACTTGTATTCAAAAATAGCATATATATATATTTCAGGGAGAAAGTTATTCGGTTTAATGTGGTACATATATTTGTGGTAGAAACATTTAATTCCAGCGTTTTGTTAAATTTGCCCTTTCAAATTCATCCAACTATAGCTAGACGTATAATGCCTGTTGAATTCTTGTTGAAAAATGTCCCACTAACAATATAAAGTGGCAGAGGTTTTACTTCTGTTAATACAAACAAATGAATTCCGAATAACTCATAATTATTTTTCTGCTCGCATTACTAACAGTTGTTGAGGATATGAACTCCTTTTCCTTAAAATTTACAAGGAGGCAGCAAAAGTTTACATCAGTTGAATTAAAAAAAAGAAGCCAATTTTATTACATTAATGCGAATTGTTTGGGAATTTCTCTTTAATAAGTGAATCCTAGTTTCACTGGTTTCCGGTCAACGTTAATGTGGCGGTCGCATGAACGCGATTTCTGGTAAATAAATTAAAATATTCTAACATTGCAATATAGTTACACTTACACTTCAATAAAAACAGAGAATGGTGCTGAATAATTCAGAAAACAAAAGGTTTTGAATTTTTTTAACAACATGAAATTACAACATGGAAAAAATATTAATACATGCTTTTTTTCTATTTCATTCCAGTTTAAAATTGATTTTCATGGGCGCGTTTTAGAAAAGGCTTAAGCGTTTCATATTAGAATTTTTATTCCTATACTTTAATAAGTAATGCTTGAACCATCGGCGACGTCATCGAAAATATAATGGCAGCGCAGCGAAGACTATCGGTTTTGCTAAACCCAAAAAGTTATTTTATTATCCCAAAGTGATATCATCAACTATTTAATGAGATTTTGTTATATCTGTCGAAAAATATATCATTCCATTACCACAAAATTTGCAGCAAGAGACAGTTCAGGATTAAGTACGTCGAATAAGAAACATTTCAATAGTGGTAATATAACTCAGTAGGGACAGACAGTTATGGAGAAAAATACAGCATAATATATATCTCGAGAAAAATAAAAGGTCAATTTTCAATTTGCAATATTTTTATTTGCTATACTAGAGCAACTAAGTCCAGACCATCGACAGTAATGAAAATTTTTTTTCCAACATTATAGGCGTTGGCCGTTGCATTGATGTTTTTTATTGGAACTTATCTCGATCGATAAGTATGTTGATAGGTATTTGTCTGTTTGTTTGTTTGTTAGGCACTTTCGTATGTTTCGGAAGATCGACAAGTCGGCGGTCTTCGATCCCTATCTAGTTACTTATCGAACTCGATCGAAGTATGTTGATGGGTATTTGTCTGTTAGATGCACGCGATAGCTTGAGAAAGCGGTTGAATCTGCTCCAAACTTTGCAGGTGCATTTATCATATCTCGGACCAGAAGCCTAATGATTTTGGATGAATTATGTCGTATAATTAGCGAGTTATTAATTAATTAGTGATGGAGAGATCTAGATTTTTGCAAAGCGAAAGAACGTGTATGACCTAGATTTTTGAGGCGAGAGTGCTCATGTGTTGAGTATGTGTGTGTTCGATGCGGCAGTTTCCATCGAGAAAGTTTCGACGCTATTGAGTCAGAGCGAAGGACACACGCCGATAGATCGATAAGTCGGCGGTCTCTAATCGCTATCTCATTGCTTATCGATCTTTAGATCGGTGAGTATGTTGATAGGTATTTGTCTGTCTGTTTGTCTGTCTGTCTGTTTGTCTGTCTGTCTGTTTGTCTGTCTGTTAGATGCACGCGATATCTCACGAAGGCGGGGTTGAATCTTCTCCAAATTTTGCATATGCCTTCATCATATCTCGGACCAGAAGCCTATTGATTTTGGATAAATTATGTCGTGTAATTAGCGAGTTATTGATTAATTAGTGATGGGACACAAGGTGTCACTATGGAGTGAGAGCGCTGTTTTGGGGGGATCCCCTAAAAAATCGATAAGTAATAAAATCGATAAGTAATAATAATATTTTTCAACTATAATTCAAAAGTTCTCCGACTACTGTATTAAAAAAAAAACGTTCAAATATGAAGTTGTACTTGGTTGTTTTCATCGTAATCTCACCTTCGACGCAGTGTGAAGTACCTTCGCCGAAACAACCAATAGATTGGTCGGAGGTTTGTATGTCCCTGATTTAGTATTATTATAATTGTCTCTTTTCACTGCCTTGTGGACACTCCCGTAGTGTGTGTACCAGGCTAGGGTTAGGCCATAACTTTATTCCGATTTACCTCATTTTAGTTCTATTACGAGTTCGGGGACTATCTGTGTTAGCCAAGTGAATTTACCCCTGCCCATAACTTTCCGTCTTTTTACACAACTTGATGTAAAGTAGGCGAACAAAATTAGTTATCTCTGCCACCATGTGTGCCTTTAGAGATCGCCCTAGTTTGCGGTTTGGCCTTTGAATTTCATTTCCAGATCATTATGGCAAGTAGTTTGCTGAATATTTCAAAATATTGATGTTGGGAGTTATACAAATTAGCAGTGGCCGGTATATGACCTTTCTATTAATGTCAAAAAACACTGCTAAATGAAGTTGCAGTTAATTGAGATTGAGATGACTTAATAAAGTCAAATCTATAGTTAAGCATAGTTTTACTTAATAGTAACATACCATATGAATGGCATTTTATTTTGATCGTATTTTCCAACTCTTATTTGTTCAGTAACAATCCAGCATGATGTCGCAATGAAAGTCATTACCAAAGTGAAGAATATAAACATATAAATGTATTACTACTTTTGATTTAGAAAGCTCTCAGTTTATTCAAAACTAATAATATTATTCCACATGTTCAATTCTTCACACACACACACACACATACTTATAAATGGTTTTAAAACACAGAACATTGATTCTATATAGGAGGTATTATTTTACTTTTACGCCATCTACTCACGGAATTCTAATTAGAGATTGTTTATTGCCGAAAATATCTGGAAAACTGGTGTCTTTTTATTGAAGCATTTAATAGTAAATAAAATAATACTTTTTTGTTTTAAGATTCCAGAAACATGGTAACCAGAATTTCAATCCATGCTTCTCGCTTAATTGCAAATGACTATGGTGAATATAGAAACAAATGATTAAATTTTTACAACCATCGACATTCTGTTCTTGTTTATAAATGCATCTATTTATTTGAGTATTCACACTCCCTTCTGCATCACAAGTCAGTTTCTGATCGAGGTGCATGAGAGCATTGAGTTAATTTTCTTGGACCATCTAAACAACACTGGCTATATTGTGGCTTATGCTGAACAAGAGAAACGTCCTAATTGTTGCAGTTGAAAATGAGCGACGCCTAACAAGCTTACCCCGTTACAAAATTACGTATTACCTATTTATTTATTTAGTTCCGCTACAGGTACTTGGTTTGACTGTAAGAAACAACACTTATAGAATAAATATAACACTCAGATATTCATAATATATAAATGTTAAATAATACTTTTGTCCCTCTAATATGCACCATGTTTTAAAGTTTGGATTATGTACATCAATAATCGATGATGACGGCAACTTTTTTATTCTGAAAACCTTTGAGATCAATTCCATTTTTTTTAGTTTCATTGGTCTTTAAGCTATGAATGTTAAAAATTTATTCTCGGGAGAATATATTGTTTGGTGCTACACACCAAATTCTAATCCGGATCTGATGACTTTTTACAACGCTTTCAAAGATCTTATTATCTACGGGATACCGCCAAAGTATCTCCAGCCTTCCAAATGCAATCAAATAAACTACGCCAAGGAATAAAAGTTTTTTAAACTGACTATATTACTCAGATGGCATTTTCTCAAACTTGAAAATTCCGTGAATAAAAAAATTAAATTTCGAACGTTACTTTTTGTTAGCATCTCCATCTTTCGTATTGAATATAAAAAGGAATAGTAATGAGAAAGAAAATAGTACACTATGAAAATGCGTTTCATGTTCTTAATTTTACGACTTTCGTTGATTGTGTGACTGGCATGTCATGTACTTAGAGCAGGGGTCGGCAACCTACGGCCCGCGGGCCGGATCCGGCCCGCGAAGTAATATAATCCGGCCCGCGACGCTTTACTGAATTATAGTAACAAAACAGCCGTTTTTGACGATTATATTCTCTATATACGTAACAGAATTTATTGTGTGAGACACGTGTAAAATAAATTATTTTATAATCCATTAAGTATAAAATTGGGCATAAACAAATAATTAACAATAGATGTTGTGGGAAATATGGTCGACTGAGTATAGAATTATATTATTTTTAAGTTTTGCTAAATATTGCTTTGTTTTCAGGCAACTTGTTTGACTTCCGATAATATAAACAAGAGGTAAATTTTTGTGAATCAAATTTTCAAGTCCGGATGGCATAGTGCTTTCGCTGGAGATCTTAATTTAAAATTCATCTATTCTGCCTATGTCCATGTGCAGGCTGTATTGGTATGTTGAGGCGATACTGGCGAGAATGGTGGGACAGTGACGAACAGTTATGTGAAACTTAGACCATAGAGACGTATGGAAATTTATTATATATAAAAAAAAGGGGCTCCCGAAGTATGCGAACCAAGATGGCGGACATCGGATTGTAATATGTGTACTAGGTTAGGGTTAGGCCATAATTTTAGGTATAAATACTACGGGAGGCTCTTGGCTAGTCTTCGAACTGATAATAGGACTAAAATAAGGAAAATTGGGAAAAAATTATCTCCTAACCCTAACCTGTTACCCATGTTACGTTCCGATGTCCGCCATCTTGGTTCGCATACTTCGGGAGCACCAAAAAAAAATCATGCCACGGCATGAACAAAGAAAAACTGATGCCGACATCTCTTTTTTATACCACAAGAGCGGTGAAAATACACCCTGAACATTGGACAGATCAATTCCAAATAAAGATGAATTCAGCGCCTAATTATATTAAAAATACCTAATCGAATTTTGGTAATCTGCCCAACAACGAAGACGTTCTCTGACCAAATCAACAAAATATGTTGTGGTGATGTAATTTCTCATAACACCTGCTGATAAAACTTGTTTATTCATGCCACTATATTTTTCCGCGCTGAACGGATTTGAAATAAATAAGGCATATTCTGTCTTCATTATCCTCTATTCATGCAAAATGAGGATACAACCTTGTTAGTATCGGCTAGAGTTTACCAAACTGAAACATATGGACCAGACGAAAATTAGAGACTAAGCGTCTGTTCAATAGAAAACTCGAATGTAATTTATTCGGCACTCCCTATTGCCTATTGTTTACATCATGAAACTTCTTTTAGCAACAAAATTTAAAGTTTATTTGAAATGATGTGATGATAATTAAAATTTTACATAAAAATTCCATATATAACACGGCCCAATATATTTATGAAATCTAACATATAATGACTAATGGTAGTAGTGAATGCATCAAGTTTGAATATCAAAAGGAATAGACATTAATTTTTGATAGTCAATATTTTCTGACGTTAGTGGTTTTAAAAACTTGTAGATGTGGCTTTTCGTTGTTGTCTATCGTTACAACATGTTGTAAGCGAGGTCCATTTGTCAGGATGAGAGTTGAGAATAGTCCCATCTTTACCATTATATTCAAATCCTAGACTTCAATGAAGACCTTGTACCAAACATATGTAGTACTGAGTAGTATTGGGAACGAGACTATTCAAACGCCTTTATTGCGACTTGAGGGCAAATTTAAACCAAGCGAGGAGTTCATTTCCCTTTGCACATTCTTCAACATATTTCTCGTGAACGATGGGCACCTGTTGAATACCAAAAATAATGTTTCCGAAAGTTGTAAGAATCATGATTTATTGTCTTACCACTTGATCATATTTTGATTTTTCTGTATTAGGATCCATATTATCGTATTAAAAATGCATCTTCACCCCTTTCTGTTGTGCTTCCTTAATGATACTTGTGTTATGTGGTCCCTCCTTTGAACAAATTACATAAACTGTTCGCCCATTTCCGTTGATTATTTTGTCGCCTGAAAATATGAATAAGCAAGATTGACCTGAATGTTGACCGTAAAAGTCAATAAAAGAAGAAGACAATTTATAAAAGCATTAATATCACTCCCTTCATTAATTCTATTCAAATTAACCTCTGATTTCCTGTAAAACGAATTGCCCAATGCAACAAATGTTATTATTCTCTAGGTCGGGGCTTTCCAACCTCTTTTCGCCGTGAATAGTATGGACCTCCAAGTGTCTATTGGATATATCCAAGTTTAATCACTTGCTGTCTTAATAGGACGATTTAATTTTAGTGTACTCAGTAATATCGCCATATATTGCTTGTCGAGTTTGAGTTTTTCGTTTGGTTTGGGTATACTAAGTTTGCATATTCATTTCGATACCAATTTTAAATATTCTATGATCAAGGCAATTTAATAAGTTTAGCTATGATGGGTTAAATCAATTATTTTCCATTTCAGTTCAAAACCCTAAGACATCGCTACTACCCGCTGGTTTCCTATAGTACCCAAAACAAACAAAAATTTCAAACAAATTTATGTTTTTAATTTAAACAAAATTTTTGTTGAAAAGACTAACGGATGTTTCAGCGAGAAATAACATTGTGGGTGCTTGTTATTCTCAAACATCGAGATCCATTTTAACACCAATCCAATCACTAATCTAACAGGTGTTTTTCATTTATTCCAGTTTATCCAACAACACATGAAAATTGCAATAACTTTAATGAAATGTACTCATTTATTATAGTTAGCACTTTATCTATGAACCTTCTGAAATCGCGCTGTGGACAATCGCGGTCCACCTGGACTACGTTGGGAGGCCCTGCTCTAGGTGGAACTGTTGAATTTTCTATTTTCCTCTTCTGCTAATTCCAAGAATAAGGCCTTCATGCAAAAGGGTATAGATATCTGACATGTGTTTGGAAGATATAGGTTTTCACCCCAAAAGTATTGCTGTTACATGAACTGAAGTACACCTACCGAAAGTTCCTCCTAAATTCTGAATTGTGCTTTCGAGCTCGTTCCTATTTGTATAGGATTCCGCTAGCACAAAGTAAACGCCTTCAAAAATCCTGCAATTGTAATAAGAATTAACGTGTCGTAAACCAGAAGAAAATGTATTGATTTTAAATTAACATGCACTTAAGCTTTAGTTAATGCAATTGCTATTCACTATGAAAATTATCTGAAACTTCGAAACGACTGTTTTGATGCATTCAACTCACTATGTTTTCATCACTTCGTTTTCATTCTGCAGAAAATAAGGAAATAATGAAACAAACAATACATGGATATATTACAATAACATCGCCATTAAAAATATTGGAATCGACCATACAACTATTTTTCTAATTTATTTATTTCACAAATTTTACAATAATAACCACCAATTAAGCAGTTATTTTGTGTTTTGTAAAGATTCATCATCTAAAAACGTATATGGCGAGAGAGATCCGTCTGAAATAGACAAGTAATGAAATACTTATTGTGAGACTATTTGAAAAACACCAATGTTTGAAAAGACACGTATAGATTTTTCAAAGTTCAGCTTCATTCAAATGCCTTCCGTTAAAAGCATCAAATCAGCTGCTACGAGTGAGATATATACTCCTGTAGGATCATGTTGCTATAAAAGTTCAGCTTCAATAAAATGTTTGTTCAGGATGTAGTAAACACGACTGTAAAAAGTATTTGCAGGCAACTCATACCTTATCATCAAGTGCACATTCAGTTTGTTTTCCATATATATCGCTAAGAACCTCTGCCATTCGTGAATAATTGTGGGACCTGTTGAGTAAATATTGTATTCAATTTAGAATTGGTAAATATATAAATATAATATTAAATTTTTCACATTGCATAAACTCGATCGGACATATAATGACTAGAGACAAACAATTATAGTTATGTAATGGTGAGTTTTTATGTTTGTTCCTCGTCGAACAGTCCGTTTGAGTATCATACTGTAATTAACCCACTATTGAATTTTCTCATTTGCTTTCTTTGACTCTATTTATTGGATATACAATTTTCATATGAATCGTTTTGCTAAATTGCCAAAATGGAAAAGGTCGCTAGAAGAATATTTCTGTTACATTGTGTTTCTATTTTTCTTATGAACTCAAGGGTATCTATTTTTCACTTCAAATTTTGCTAATATCGCGCTTATATTACCACTATACGTGGCATTTTGCCAGGTAAGCCATCAATCTTATTGGCAAATCCTGTACTTAGCTTAAAGCCTTTCCACCATCGACGTGAAAACTACGGTAGTGCATGGGCTTGTTTGTAAATATGAATTGTACAATTTATATAATATAATAAAATATTTATCGAGTTAATTAATAGCCCTATCTAATTTAACCAGAAAATATAATCGGGATATGAATGGTGAATAACAGCGTGTTTGTATTAAAATTAGGACAATGTCAATTTGCATAAGGTGTATAGCCTACTTCACTCCAAACAATGGGAAAGCCCTTGTTGTTTTAAAATACTACTAATGCCCTTCAGTGCACGATTTTCTATGTTTTCCGCCATCTACAATCGTAAAACATTTTTATTATTCCCCCTAATTTGTGGATTTAAAATTTGACTTTGTATGACAATGTGATCTATTAATCTAACATAAATACAAAACGAAAATTAATTCTTTACCCTTTCGTTGGTGAGGTCTTGCGAAGATGCGATTTCGCCTCGCTCAAGAACTGAAAATGGAAAAGATTTATATATATATGAAATATATACAATTCAAATATACCGTATATGAAATATAGATCAGCGCAAAATGAAAGGGTAGGATTAGTCTTACGATCTATGGATGACGTACAGGGGGGGGGGGGGGGAGGACACACCGGTAACATTCTCTAAACTAAACATCTCCAAGAACATGCCCATGAGAAGGGTTCTTTTATGCTCATTTGGGTAAATTGAGCAGCATTCATGAACACATTTGATAAAATTTATTCGAAAATCAGAATTCAATACAAAGTAATAAATTGAGTGTGTAATGTTTCTTTTACAGTCGCTATACCGGTTTCCATGAACATGTATGGTGGCCCATCGTTGTCACGCGTAAAATTTAAAAAAAAAATGAAAAAATAAAATGAAAAAGGGAAAATAAAAAAATAGTTGTGAAAAACATAAAAATAATTGAAAAAAAAAAAATGAAAAAAAAAAATTAAAATTAAAAATGAAAACGAAAAAAAAAAAAACAAAAAAAAAAAAAAAAAAAAAATTAAAAAAGGAAAACGAAAAAAAAAACACGAAAAAAAAAAATATTTAAAAAAATAATTGGATAAAAAATAAATAAAAAGGTTGACAACGATGGTCCGCCTCGTGGCCCATCGTTGTCACGCGTTTTTATTTTAAGAAAATTTGATGCTGCTTGGGACCAACGTTATCAGGTTTAATCCTACACGCACAAATGTTTTTTCTGGGTTTCTAAGTCATTACTGATTTTCATGAGCAATATTCAATGAATTCAACATGAAAATGTCCTATAAATTCTCCATGCTACAAGTTCAACCACAAGCAATATATTTATAATAATGATAAGAGAATATAGAATTGAATACGAAAATTTGTTTTTACGTGTAGAAGGTAATTTAATTGGAAAATGCTGCTTAACTGCTTAACTGCTCAGTTGTCTGGACACTCGTGCGATGCCGGTACGGTACCGTCTGACCGTACCGGTACCCATGCAATCACTCATGAAAGAATGGGAGATACGGATAGTCTCGTAGAATATAGACTACTGAAACACTCTCTGCGCCTGCCCCATACGGTACAGCCGTAACGTACCGATCCAGACAAATGATAAATCGCCCGTGCTCAACCATTTATTTCAATCCATACCTCGACTCACTATACTCTACTAGGATCGAGGTATGGATTGAAATAAAACGTCTTCGTTAGTTGGATCTTCCCCCATAGCTCTGGTAACATCACCGACCTGATGATATGCTATTTTTCCATCGCCAGTTGTATCAAAAAGCTCGAAATCTTCTTTGATGTCTGTAAATAAAAATCATTCTTTGATTTTATGTTGTTGTGTTTTCAATCAAAGCGTATAATTAGTAAATAGAGTTATTGAAATATCTAGCCAAATACATCATACGCTTCTTCATATTTTATTAAAAAGCTCGTGACTTCATTAAATCTTCATACAAAATGAATATACTTAAATAATCAAAACTTGGCTCAGTATTAGATGATACCTACTTTCAATCTTTTCTTCGGCGAATTCACCAGCAGCCTAAAATCACAAAATGTTAATAGTATTCTATGTTGCAGGTACACACATGCGTCTAAGTTCCGAGGTTATGCAATGCTTATTTTGAACACTCAAATTCATTTTGCTGCACGAATAATTCTGCCTAATTTTTATTGTTTCTAAACGCCTGAGCCTATATTTCTAACAGTTTCTCAATCAAAAATTATCATTTAGAATCATGCTTTGTGTATGAACGAACACATGACCAATAGCCCAACTCTGTCAAATTGGGCCAACAAAAATAAGCCTATCAGACCGTCTTAGTCAGCGTCAGATACGGGTAATCTATAAACAAACCGGACTTACCATAGTTTAGTATTAGAAATAGTGTTTATTGTTCCCTCTAGAAAATTTTCCTTGCTAACTGGATGACACATTTCCCCAACCTGTGAGACAAAAGCGCGAAAGCTCCTAAAGGGGGAAAATTGATGTTTTTCTTGCTAATCGACACTTAAGATCAGCTGTAAAATTAATGTCTGACTTTTGATGCGTTGTCATCACTTTTGTATTGTTGATGTTGTATTCTCTGATGTGGTATTTCTGAATGTTTTGATCTTGGCATATATGAGATTGACGATGATGTGCTGTATTTGATGAGTACAATCATTTTACTGTATGCATCGCCTTGGGTGAAGTCTGTCTTCGTTTTTATATATTCATGCACTACTCTCGTTTTATTACCATGATTTATGAGTGAATATTCTCAAGGTATAAGGTTTTGTCGCATTTAATATTGGTAATTGTGATATATATGATGTTCAGGTTCCCTGGCGTACTGAAATGTGGATCACAAAGGTGACAAAAAATAATTTATGGGCTAGTACAGCATCTGACACACCACCTACAGTATAATAAATAGTATCCGGCTACGGCTTGCTGGTCCGTTGTTCGATTAAGTGAGTACAGACGACGGTATTGAAAACCGGGCAGTGACACCAACAAAATCTTCATTGGATGTCCTGAAGTTCCAGTACTATTTCATTTTGGTTGTCATCATTCTATATGAATCGAAATATTCGATTATGTAGTTTTGCCTAAGTTAGGCGTTGTGAATATAGCTTTATATGAATCACAATTTCTTTGACTTCACTTATTCTATCAATAGCCAGTGACCAAGTAACGTTAGAGGGAATCATGCCACAGAGTTCAAATGTACAAACCGACTATACAAAATACTACTTTAAACCTGTTCGTAAATACCACGGAGCCTTTATAACCGCATTGAGATTTTAAGGTCAAAAGCTAGTGAACAACCTTACCTGCAATGCATAACATAATATTTATTTTTCTATCGGGTTTGAAAAACATAGCAGGGCAATAAATATGAAAAGAAAGGAACGGAGCACACGTGTTTTAGTACCAAATAAGCTGGCACGTGGTAACAAAATATGGCGACTAGTGCAAAAATCTTCTCTCTCTGATTGAAAATACACAACGATACACTACGCATGCTATGCCTATTCTGGTACATGCATTGTATTGTACGCGCATTTTAATTAAGGCAGTTCCAAGATAAAATGAATTTTTTTGGGTTTAGAAAAAACTAATAAACTTATTCATAACAAACCCGAACTATATTGTTGTTGTTATTCTTCAGCTATGTGTACTGAGACCTCCCTCCCCGAGGTCGTCTGTAGTCACTAACTACGACAATGATTCATCAAAACAATACGTATGCACATTTGATATTCAATTACGTGCAGGTCGCATAATTTACCAATAGACGTCAGTCAATTGACCTTAGTGTCTATATACTTGATCACTGCCTTCTCGTTGTAATGAATTGGGATCTTACGTCTTAAATTCTGAAGAGCATTTTGAAATATTTTATTTTCAATCAAACTGTTGCAGTGAATGTCGATAAATATTCATAATTGTAGTTGAAGAATTGCAATGATAGAAATTCTTGAGAATTCTAACTCAATGATTGAAGTTTAATAGTCGAAGCATATAAATAGTTTCAAGATTGTCGAGGAGGAAATTTTAAAATGCCTCGAACAAAGCTATGCATATTATCGAACTGACAAAATCATTCAAAACACGAGCTAGTTCACATTTGTATTAAATACCAAAGCAAAGGGTTTTTAGATCCAGCTTCGATAAGCAGTTTTTATACATAGAAAACTTTACGTGGCGTTGTAAAAACTGCCCATGCAGTCTCACACCTAGCTAGAGATTAGAATGAATTCAAATGCGGAAGCTATTATTTATTTAACTATTTACGCCCATGCACACCAACACTTTTATTGTAGACGTAGAAACGTACGTGGCCAGAATATATTTCCTATATGCGACGTGACTCAGAATTACTCAATCGATTGCAGATCATATTTTTCGAGTAAAGCTTTCATAAAGATATTAGCCAGCAATGTTTCCGTATACAGTGTGCCGCAACTGATGGATTTTCAAAAACAGGAAGGTAATTAACCAACATGATTATATTCGAATAGTTTGTTACGTTTACTTTGTGACTTCTTTTGGCCTTTGCTGCTTTTATTTTAGTCTATTTTTCAATTAGGAACAATGGTGGAATTGGCTTGCGATGGTGATAGGATTTCATTCACCTGGAAAATAACATACGGAGTCACCGGATATTCTTTGCTTGTAAGAAACGCAAAAGATCGGAATCCTCTTGTCATCCACGAAAAGTTTTCTGCTGGTGACAGCCGTTATGAAGTAAATATGAATGAGCGATTACGATATGGTCAGATATGTGAAGTTAAATTACAAACTTATGGACCTGGCGAAGAATTCCAAGAATCGGACTGGAATGCCTTCGTGATAGGTAAGTTCAGGCAGTAATTCATTGCATATCCATTAAAAAAACTCTCCTTTCGCAGACACGAAATAGCATGCCGCATTAAAATGCATATGAATCACTTTGAATACTGGTTCCCAAGTGTTCTTGTATCAAAATTATCGTTGTATTATTCTCAATGAAGGAGTCATAGAAATAGGGTTTTGCTTTTCCAAAAAACAGCCTGCTTTGAAACAAGGGCTTATTTTAAAAATCTTTTTTTTTTCATTGTTTGTATATATTAATTATTGAAATATCTCTTGCATCGCCGTAAAACTACTCCAAAACGTTGCGTTCTGGTTGCTTCACGCGCTGCCGGAATAATAATTTTGAGAATGTAAGAAAAAATTCTTGCTTTGGCTTTCACTTTTATCGCGTAACTTTATCGCCAAGTTAATACCTACACCAAATATATAAGATTTCAATGGAAATGTTTATCTAAGATATCAAGGAGACGCTTTTAGTGAAAAGGGCAAGAAAAATCATGAAACATATCGCACGGGACTACTCCAATCCAAAAGCACTTGGATCATCGGTCCACTCACCGCCCAAAATCAGCAAACCAAGTGCGATGATACGATATTGTAGATAATAATATACTTACATTGGCGGCAACATACCGTCACGCTAATAACCGAATTGCGTAGGTCATTTTTGGCGATTTTGAGTTTTTTTTATAAAATAGGTATTTATGTAATGCTGCGCATCTTTCTGTTAACTCAGATTTTATTTTAAGAATTCCGAAACCCCAAAAAATGGGGATTTTGTATGACATGCACATTTGTGCAATTGTTTCGTCATAATGAATTATCATTGTTACCGCAGGACTACTGTGACGTCACAAAGGCACAAAAACCTCGTCGAAGTATTTTCGAGTTTTTGCATCTCGGATTCTAGCTTAGCGCGTATTAATTTGAACTTATACTACAGTATAGGAAGGCGTGCACTTTTGATATTCACTGGCCGAGTCCAATTCACCTTGGTTGGCTTTTATATTGGATGCATTGCTGTTTTATTCTTTATATTTAATCTTAGTCTTATTTCGGTGGGTGTGCAGAACGTGTTATATTATTGAAATATATATTTTTAAACATAAAAAATGATGTAATTGGAACTGATTAGCTATTTTGGGGATTAGACATTGTAGATACGGAAAATTACATTCGTTTTTGGAATGTTTATAGTTTTCAGGACTGGTGCATATAGTAAAGCTGCAAAATTGCGTATGTCCCCCAGTCATAGACACATTCTGCCTAAGTCACAGTGCGCCATTATGACGTCACTTAACTGCGTCATACAAACTAACTTAAATCCGGCTACGATCAAAAAATTGAACCATGGCAAATTATTGACTTTCAATGGCATAACAATATCTTCAGGAAATATTTTACGTTTTTCTCAAAACTGCTAAAAATGACTTACGCAATTCGGTTATTAGCGTGACGATACGCAGTTTCAAATCAGGGACGGATTGAGAAAATGAGACATCCTAGGTCAGAGATGGGCAACCCCTGGCACGCGTGCCAAACTTGGCACGCTAGGCCATTTATTCGGCACGCGAGCGAGGCCTCAGAAACGAAATCATTCTTCCTCAGAAAGTCCTCAAAGTTTTAAGACTATGAATTATCTGATGAAACTCGGTATTCGTTTATTCATTATATATCGTTTGTTAACAATCCGTTATTTATTTAAACTCTTTTTGTCCTTTCATGACATATGACTACAATGAAATATATTACGACGTAACAAATGAGTGAGCTCTCGAGAATATTTGTCGAGAAGAGCGCAGTATTCATTGGGCTACATTCTTACGTAATATAGTTCGTCTGTGTCATGCTTTTTCTTCATTTCTGCTTGATTCATGAAGTTGTACAACTCATGTTGGCTAGAGTTACTTGCTAACTTACTGTTATAAATTGACTTCGAAATAAATATAAGCGATTAAGGAAGGGAATACAAGAGAAAAGTGCAGAAAACGAACTATTGTGTGATTGGGATGCCATTCCTGAAAATTTTCTGTGTCTTAAAAACTTTGCAACTGCATTACTCTCCATGTTTTTATCTACATAATATGCTTCTGAATCTCTGTTATGAACTTTATTAATTCTCGTAACAGGAGTAGCCTGAAAAATGGAACCAGTAGTTTGTGTATTTCTTTGAAAGTTACAAAATATAAACCCAATGTAATATAAACCCTATCAGCGGTAATACAGCAGCAGAAGTCTCACTGATATAGAATCAGAAGATTAATCAAATCTATTTGCCGGACTGATGTTTTCCGTATGTACTTGTTTAAAAGGTTTAATATTGTGCATTTTTGTTTGAAATTAGCAAAGCGTTGTTTTCAATTTGGGAATTTTGTTGTTAAATTCAGCCGATTTTGGCAAGCGAGCCAAAAAAGGTTGCTCACCCTTGCTCTAGGGCCTAAGCCAGGGTGGTTCAAACCCAGGCCCGCGGGCCACAAGTGGCCCGCCGCTTCATTATCTGTGGTTCGCGTCGCAATCTTCGGGGATCTTTTGCCATATTGTTACATTACTTATGTTATTGAATTGTCTAGTGTTATGGCTAGCTAAACTACTACTACTACTGAGACTACAGGTTGCTTGGCTAGTCTATATTGTAAACTGGCTTCCTTTTTTGTCGGGAATATATGCTAACAAAATAGGCTTCATAAAACACTAAAAATCGAATGAGGAACCTATTAGCCTGGGTTAGTTATGTCTGATAACTAAATATTAATGTAATGGCCGATCAATATAATTTCTGCCGGGTGTTTTTTTTGCAACCAGCCTAAACAGTATTACATAAAAAAGCTGCCCATGTGTCAAAAAATTTACATTTACTCTTTTGTACCTCACATTTGGTAATCGATCAATCTGCAGTTATTTTGTAAACATGAGTTTGAAAAGAAAGCTGACAAATTCAAATAGATTTTTGACTGGATATGGGTGAAGAAATACCACAATGCTTGCTTAATATGTCTGCAAGTTTTGTCAGTGATAATCTAAATTCTAAAAGGACGTTTTCGCCTTATCTCACTTTCTCCATTATGAAGAGTTTGAAGTCTTGAAGAATTTTTGCAAGTTTTCAGTGAGTTTTTTGGTGTTTTTTTCGTTTCTTAGCTTGATAAATAATGATCAATGTGTTTAAACAATAAAGTGTTTATTTTGTATTGCATTGTTTATCTATTCTGGAACTTTTTCACCGCAATACCGACCGCTGAAGAAAGTGAAGTTTGGAAAACCCTGTCAAGATAAATGAAGCCTCACATAGATAGTGTTCTACCATGTGTTAAGCTGAATTCAGCAATATTGTCCCGCAAAGTAATAAATAGTCGTATGTCGAAATATATTGAATTTCCACATGCATGGTTAAGCAAAATTTACGGCTTTGAATTTTTGAGGAGCATAGACTTTGTCACCAAGGAGGAAATCATGCAGGGCATAAGACAAGCAAAATTTCATACCCTACCCTATTTAGGCAATGATATTTTAACAACAAAAATGTTGAGAATATACATTAAGTACAGGAGAAGCTATTTGAGTTAAACGTGTGGTTTCTCCGCGTTGCGATAATATATGATAGACTACTATTGTAACTTTTCATAAAGTTTGCAAATAATCTAGGATTCTGCTCATCCTTAAAATAGTCTTGCTCAGTAAAAACAATATTCGAGCAGTGTGAAATTTTCTTAGAGGAAACACTGCCTGGATCGAATCCAGGAGATATGTAACAATGTGCAAGATGATTGCTGGACTCCCCGCCATCGCAGGGTGGTTTACGTAAGGGCTTGTTGGTTGCGTCTTTCTCCGCCAACCACGTTTGCAGACGCATTGCGCTAAAACTTGAGGGGGCGTGTATGGCAAGCCATCGATATGTGCTGCGTTTCGAAGAGTTCATTGCGAATAAAAAATGATTGGCAAGTTTTTTCATCCATTTTTCTTGTTTTAGTTTCAATCTATTTGATACAAAAATAAAATCAAATAATACAGCCATTTTAAACAAAACAGGCAGAAAAAAACATGATTCGAAACAAATGTTTCAAAACTATTCTTTTTAAACAAATCCCTACATAAAAATGACTTCGCTGGACAAATTTTTTAGTGCTCCCAATTTTGCTTTTCTCATAAAGACTGTCCATAGTTCATTACTTATCGATTTTTACTTATCGATTTTAATCGGTAAGTATGTTGATAGGTATTTGTCTGTCTGTCTGTCTGTCTGTCTGTTAGATGCACACGATATCTCACAAAAGCGAGATTGAATCTGCTCCAGATTTTGCATGTTCGTTCATCATATCTCGGACCAGAAGCCTATTGATTTTGGGCGAATTATATCGTATAATTAGCGAGTTATTAATTAATTAGTGATGGGACACAAGGTGTCACTATGGAGTAAGAGCGCTGTTTTAGTAAGTCTTCGGTCTCTGACCGATATTCTCTTTTGTAATTCTGGGTATTTTTTTATTTATTAGGTGGAGCGACGGTTGCGGTCAATCCAACGGCAGAGATAAACATTATGAACCCGCGGCGTAGTGCAATTGTGAATTGGGATGAACCACAGGAGAAGCCGGATTACTATGAAGTCGTGGCTATACCAAATATAGGAAAAGCTAGAAAACAAACTTGTCCCTTTTCTCCTGTAATCATGAAGAGATTAAAAAGCGACTCAAAATATCAATTTCTAGTACATGCCATTCATAAGGAAAACAACAACCCGCAGAGTACCATCGGATGCAAAACAAATACCATAACAACCCATTCAAGTAAGTCAAAATCTATCTGAAGCAAATCGGTATTTAAGATTACATCGAGAAAACTAAAAATTCGTTCACACTGAAGAAAAAATGTTAGTGAATTGAAGGTAATATAGTAAAGGTAGTGAGATTGCAATAGAGGAACGAGAATATCGGTCAGAGACCGAGGACTTATCGATCAAAAGTTAGGGGATCCCCAAACCAGCGCTCTTACTCCATAGTGACACCTTGTGTCCCATCACTAATTAATTAATAACTTGCTAATTATACGACAAAATTTGCCCAAAATCAATAGGCTTCTGGTCCGAAATATGATGAATGCACATGAAAAATCTGGAGCAGATTCAATCTCGTTTTCGTGAGATATCGCGTGCATCTAACTCTAACAGACAGACAGACAGACAGACAAATACCTATCAACATACTTACCGATTAAAATCGATAAGTCATGAATCATGAAAGAACGTAATTGTCTTGTGGCTTGCAAATGAAACATTAATTAATGTATATACCACTATTTCTCTGAAATATTCGTGTGTGGATGTTAGGGCGAACCACTAACACCGCTTGCTTTGTGTGCACGATCAGCTTTTTCCACCTCCGACTGTAAGATATATTTGAAGAGTTTGGTAATGGATTTTTTTTTCAAATTCTCCCTTACATGCAGAAAAAAATACACCCGGAAAATTTGCAAACTTTGCCGATATAGGACGACAATCCGTATTCAATTTCAAGCATGCACAATTTGCTAGTGAGTATACTTTTTATTATACTTGAGACCTATCATTAATAAAAAATTGTGTTAAACACAATAGCGTAAATTGAAATGTACTTCTTCACAAAATGCTTAAACTGTATAATTTATTGCAACTGTTTGCGTCATTTCAAAAATTTTGAATTGCTAAAATTGTTTAAAATTAAATAAATTGTATACGGCTTTTGTGTGTAACAATTTTTTCTAATCATATACAAAATAATAAATATAATATATTTATAATGTAAATTAATATACAAACTTATAATAATTGCTAGTTCCTTATTTCTTCATGATTTGTTGTACGTTCCTATAGTGTCCCTATTTATTCCTAGTGTATTGGATAAATCGGTCAGCGTTTTAGATCCCCCACAAGGTGTGCTGAAGACGTGTATACTAAGTACTTAATATCTGAGAATTAGTACAATTTGAACGAAAATGTTCAAGTATGAATATAAAATCTGATGGATTTTGTGTTGTTTTGCTACGTGTGTTAGACATTTCAATATATTATAGTCTAGTATAGGATGTAATATTATTTTCATTCCTTCAGATCACAGTCAAACCATAAAAATCAAAGGTCAAAATATGAGTAAGTACAATTCTTAAAAACAATCGATATTATTTTTTACGTCACAGATAATAATTTTCAACATCAGGTCGTGAATTATTTTTGTTTAAAAAATATATATATTCATGTACACCTGAGACAATTGTTACAAAATGACATACATGCATATATAAAGTTTTTTGAAGTAGTATGAATAAAAAGTGCCATTTTCACACTTCAGGTACTGATAACGTTCACTGTCATAGTCTCATTATTTATTAATATCAGATATCAATACCGAGTATATATCAATATCTGGTATAGCTAAAAGTATTCATACCGACTGAATGTGGCATTTATCAATTTTTAGCTCAGATATTACTTATACTTTCTAATATGAATAGTATCATTTCAAAGAAAAGTGTTGAATTGTTGCTACGACATTTATATTTTTATTGGCTTCCTCCAGTCAAAGCACATAATACAGAAATGATGATGATAACTGACGAAATAGTTGGTGAGCAAGCAACTATAATATGGGATAACCCAGACAACTGCGATGAGTCAGGAGACTTTGAAATACTTCAATATAATGTTGATGTTCGAGAAGCTGGATATATGATGTTTTCTATGCCATTCTTGGAGAATACACAAACACACACGTTTCCAATCAATTTGGGAAAATGTTACACAGTTAACATTAAAACAACTTACGAAGATATCGATGCAGAAACAACTGAGCACTCTTACGTCAAAGAAAATTTTTATTCGAGTGATTTGATTTTGTTAGATATGCTTTTCTACTTGTTTAAACAGTAACTGAACACTTTTTTCATAAAATCTGTCAGACATTTAAGTTTGAAGGCTTTTATTTTTGACAAAAATGCTATGAATTAACTTGGTAACGAATTCAAGACTACTTACGAGCAATGAAATACCTGCATTTGTTTACTGTCATTCAGTTACGTGGAATTCATTACATTATAGCTAATTAGAATGATTAGGCCAAAACACTGCGACTATTAGGTCGCACCGTCCGAGAGTCCAGTGCTTGAAAAATTAGTATCAACTTTGTTCCGATTGTGCTTTCAAATCAATGAATAAAAATGTGGCGATGACAATCATTGGATTGAAATATTTGTAAATAATTTGATGTGCCTAAATTGTCTGTATATGCACAGACAGTTTTAATATTTACAACGACCTTCAGAACATAAAAAAATTAGGCAACTGCAACTTCTGAATTTTTTTATTTTATTTCACGCAGGACCAACAAAGCCGACAATTGAAGTAATTGAAGATAAAAAAAAACGTTCATGTCAAGTGGTCTCAATCCATGGGAGCTGTTGAACATTACCACGTTCATGTATTTGACGAATTCCACAAACAAAATCTACCAACTGGATGTAAACAAGGAGGGAACAATTTCAACAAAACAAAATTTGAGATTGATTATTTTCTTAGTGGTAGATATTACAATTTTGAGGTGACGGCCACAGGGAAAGGCAACAGAATCACGACAAACAGTGTAAAACAACTGATAGGTATCTGCATTCATATTTAATAAAAAAAAATTCACTGCTATATCTCGGATGTGGGTGAGTGTGATTTTAGTTTTTTGTTGGTAAATTATGCTTTTTCATCATTTTTCTGCAAAGTCATTTGAACACTTACTATTTCTACAGGTGGACGACTGGTGCCAAAGATGGCTATGGCAAAACTAAGTGCCACCAATGCATTTGCAGCAGATATTGAATGGGAACAGCCAGATGAACCTCCAATCGGATATAAAATAGCGGAGGTCAATGATTCGGATATAGTCGAGGAAAATAATCAAAATATTACTCAGTGTACTTTCACTGGACTAAAAAAAGGAAGCCGATACTGTTTCAAAGTCATGTCTATATACGCAGATGGTGTTGGGGGTGAATGCCGCACGAACGAGATATACACAGATACAAGTAGGTTTTTTTTATTTTGAATGAAAGATCCCTTTAATACAATTTAACGTATTTTGACGAAAACGGACATTTTTACGGAATCTCAAAATGCCAATCACAAAACTTTACCTCAATAACAAAAGCATTTTTTCAAGATATAGAACGTAAAGAAATGTTGCTGAACTTGGAATATATCTCTCACAAGAAAGATAAAATCTTTAGCAACTCGTCGCCATTGTAAGTCCACTGGATTAAAACTCAGGATCAATATTAAGACTAAATGGTTGTCCAATTCAGGCGCGGAACAACTCTATTTGATGGAGCAAGCAATCTCATTCGTAAACTTTTTTCAGGGTCAGCTTTATTGGAAAACGTACGGATAGCATTAGATGAAATGCATCCTGACACCACAATATGTGCATCATGGAAACGAGTATTTGATGCTTTAGAATACAGAATTCGAGTTGCATCTTTTAAATCTGTTCTGGAACAAGTTACAAACGAACCTCAAATTGTCATAACATCTCTACATCCAAACACTTGGTACGAAATCAGCGTCGCTGCTTCAAATAAGTTGGGGTATGGAATTCAAGATAGCCAACGAATTCAAACAGGTTTTCCTATTCAATATGTCTAAAATATAGATAGCCACTGTAATAGATTAGTGGTACGAGAAGATTAGGAAAAAATAAACAAAAATATTATGGCCAAGCTATTTTATCATAATCAATGTGCATATTATTAGGAACATAAAGGGCCATTATTAAATAGTGACGATGTAATGAACATATGAAATAATGGTTCCATTACATTTGAACCCACGTACATTTGAATTTGAACCCATGACAATTGCACCTGTATGCTATTGCACCTATGGAATTTTTTTTGTTTCATGGATAGTTAAACCCATACTAACCCTAACCCATGGGTTTTAGCACCCGCATATAGATTGAACCCGTGGATATACGCAAGGGTTCAAATGTACATGGGTTCAAATGTACGGTCACCGAAATAATAATTAACAGAAATACCCCGTTGGGTTGATTTACTGAGTTTAAACTGACAAATGACAAAATAAATTCACAGATACTACAAATGAGATAATCAAACGAGCTCATTTTACTTTAGATCTGTCGCCCCCTGAATGTGTTCGCCTATATGCTCTAACGTGGAAATCAGCTACAGTAACATTCGCACAAGCTCCAAACAACTCGAAACATTCATCACGCTATATCAAGCAGAAAATGATATAGTTGTAGACAACGTAGTAACAGATGCAGTTTCATACATATTTGAAGAGTTGAATGGTGACACTGAATATTATGCTTCAGTTCAATAACAGAAAGAGATCGCGAAAGTAGGCGTGTGCAATCAAACCTCAATGAAAACTGGTAAGTACAAGGATCTCTGCAAAAGATATAGAAGTATATATTTGATAAATGATTTACATTGATAATACATACTGCAGTACCAAATCCAGTAGTAATAAACGATGTGAACTTGTGTGATAACAATCCATCAACTGATATTAAAACTTGAATGGCAAGTCGAGAAGTTATCTTCACGTTACCAAATCGAAGTGAAAGTTGGCGATACAATGAGAGATCTTTGAAATTGAGAGCGTTGGAGTTTGCACTTATCGATGTTTAGAAGAAAGGACGGCATTACACTTTTCGAGTGAGAGCTGTGAACGAGTCAGGAATTTGGAAACTGGTCAAGCAAAAAAGATATTTCATTAGGTTTGAATGAAGTTCAATTTAGAGAATAACCATTTTAATGAATATATTTTTGTACTTATATTTTTCACAATATGCTATCTACTTCGATTCATCATGCAATGGTATGAATGGACATGTGTTTTTGCCATATATATTATTCACTATATATACTCACTAAACATAGAGGATAGAAGTTGTCAGGTATTTCTATATCAGCCTGCTTTTATGCATGTAAAAACATCAGTTGTTCCTTTGAGTTCTCCGAAACTAAGTATTTTTCCGTGTTGGTGATCCCTTCTCCTCTGTGGGATGCTTTTACAAATTTACCGGAGACATGCTTCCAAGCATGCTAAGTAATCACTGCCTACCGTAAGTATATGCACGATATATATGGACTGATGCCATACCACACAAATTTCAAATACATCCTTTAGTCTGTTCCGGACTTGATAAATTTTCAGATTTGGGTAAATTGCTGTTCTCTTTGTAAAAGTGGGGAAGAAAAATCACACATTAACTACCCCTTCATTTTATTCATACTAAAATACTTTTTTCAAGCTCCTCCAATGGTAACAGGATTGCAAGTTAAAAGATTTGAAAACAAGCTTGAAATGAAATGGATAAGTGCTGGCTCATTTGTTGACCATTACATCATAAAAGCTTTTGTTAATAAAAGCGAAATTATTGTTGAAGAAAAAACACAGGACAATGTGTACACAGTAGACTATTGTGCCCCCTGTACTGACGTCACACTGTCAGTAGTCGCATCTAATGCGGAAGCAGTCAAGGGACTTGAAACAACGGAGACTGTTTCTTTTGGTGAGGACGTTGTAATAGAGGTGTTAATCTGTTTTCTCTGAGTTCTATCAGTTTATATTTCTGTGTTTTGTACATACATCTATGATTTGTTTACCGTTTAACAAATCTTCAAAAAACAGTAATTACATAAAAATCGTTAAACTTTACTTTTTATTATATTTCTTAGGAGAATTGAAACCGCCTGATTATGTGGTATCGCAACTTGATTCCACAAAACCATGGAAGACATTTCATCTGCAATGGAAGAAGCAGTACGGCGCTTTTACGTACCAAGTAGGAATTTTCAAAGATGGAGCAAACGTTTGTTGGAAAGAGGTAGAACAAAATCAGTGGACTTTTTGTGATGCTCTTCCGCTGACAAAATATGCCATTTCCATATATTCCAAAAACAAAGATTGTATGAGTGTGGAGTATGCGACTCATGTTATAACGGGTATGTGATAAATATAAAACGTACATTAAAATAGAATAGGTTTATTTTAGCATTAACCATTATACGACTCTCGCATGATGATGTGGACAAATAACTACAAAAAACTACAGATGCCGTGAATCTCGTAGTTAGTGCAGTTGTGTGACTGTATAGGTCTATAGGCTATACAAGTAACTTTGTTTTTGTACGCATTGTCCCACATTATACTTCGCAGGTGCGCCAATCATTGTAGATTTGGACAGCATTACAACAGAACCCGACGAAAGACAGCCTTGGAGAAACGTACGAGTAAAATGGAAACGACCGGAAAACGTAGAAAATTTTAAAATAAAATCTAGTATCGGCAATCAAGAATCTATTACTCGGAAAGAATGTTTCGATCTTAAAAATGAAACCAACGAACGCACCGTGACAATCTCAATTAAATCCGGAATTCGCGATGTGTACACCGAGGAGGAAGCAAAAATAACCTTCATCATGGGTAAAATATTTCCTCCTTCACCAATGATATTATAAATTTCTTGTTTATTAGATTCGATCAATAATTTTCCGAGAAAAAACACTCCATTCCACAAGTATATATATAATTTTGAACTATACACTCCGGGGTGGATGGATCATGGCTAGCAGTGAACCAGTAATATATTTTACATACCCAGAATCACAAATTGATAAATGTGACTAAAACAAAGCCCAAAAAAATAATGATGATAAGAGTCTTGCTACTCATTAACACAAATGTATTTATGTAACACCGTTTATGTAATATGCGGGAAGTACCTAAAGAAGTCTGAGATCGGTCAAACAAAATGTACTGAAATGCATTTGTCATAGTGTACAGTACAGCACTGTCAAATCACTTCGAAGTTCGAATAGTCAAATTCATTCCTACTTCAGCACCCTTGCAATATACGCCTACGGATCCACTATAGGCAAAAGTATAGAAGAGAGATAAGTACCAATGCATCACACGCCACAAAGTCAAAAATAGTATTCCATATTGGCATGTAATGATAGACCACCAATAGTTTTCGGAAAGAGCAACAGTTTCATGTCGTGTCGAGCAGATCTGTAAAGCGGCCATGTCAAAAACAACGAATTGTAATATACAAATGATTTTGAATTTTTTTATTTACTATTTATCTGTCTGGCATTTTCAGTTGTAACCTAAAAAGAATTGAGATATGATAAAGAATTCCGGCATTTTTATCTGATTTTGGTCGATTTTTACAAAAAGGATTTATTGAACGTTTATTTTAGATGGGGTGCCAAAAGTACGTCAGGATTCTCTGAAAATTAAGGTGAATGAAAACACTCCATGGGAAACAGCTACAATAACATGGGAAATTCCAAGAGGCGTTGATTGGATGAATATCAAAATAAAACCTCAAGGACAAAACACTTGGAGCGTAGACAAAACATTGCACAATAAAAATTCATTAGAATTTTCGAGGAAGAATGTTGAAAACTTTTATGAATTCCGTATATTCACTGGATTTTCCAAACAATCATTTCACACTGAGTTTACCTCCAAACCCTTTTCATTGGGTATGTATTAATTGATTCCATAACAGTTTTTTTTAATAAAATTAATTTAAAATATATTTTTTTCACCAGCAAACTTTCCTATCATAAAATCCAAATCAATTGAGATTGAATTAGATGAAGAAAAGCCGTGGGAGATTGCAAATATCAAATGGGAGATGCCTCGTTTTCTGGCTTGCGTTAAAGTCCAAATTAAATGCAAAGCATCAGTGGAAAACACCATTCAAAAAGAAGTGATTCAAGCCGACAACACTTTGAGATTCATTCGCACCGAAAAACATCACACATACGATATTAAAATATATACTGGCTGTAATGGAAAATTATTTCAGTCGGAACCAACAACAAAAAATTTACAATGGGTTAGTAAGACTATTTACTGCATATTTTTGTTTAATTATTTACTGATTATTGAATGGTGTAACTGTATGTGTATATTTTGTTGAGTTTATATTTTGTTTTGATGTCAGACGGATGCATTATCATAACAATTACTCTTTTTAAATAAAAAAAATAAATATCATATATATCGTTTTGTGACACATTTTTCAGATTCTCCGCCCGCTGTGTTCAAAGATACCATGAAGTTTGAGCCAGACGAAGAACAGCCATGGAAATTGGGTCGACTTAAATGGGAAAGACCAAATTTGGTTGAAACGTTTAAAATATTCAGCAATGTTACTGAAGAGTATATCACCGAAAATGATTACTTTGACATCCTGAACACAACATCAAAACGTGGAATAAAGGTCAAGGTTTATTCTGGAATTGGAAAAGTTTTTACCGATGTCGCAGCGAGTAAAAAATTTGAAATGGGTAAGTTAGCGTTTTGAGTGATTTCGATAATTAAATTTCTAATCGTTAACTGAAAAAATTCAACTTTCATCTATAGCATAGAAGGCAAAGTTGACAACTACCAATGCATTTCTACCAGATATTACCTTGTACTGTTGACACCCATGTGAATTTCGTAATTCAATCTCAATTTGGATATGAATTTATTTGCAGTTCATATATATTTACAGCGAATATACCGAAGTTTGATGATGTGGATGTTACTGTGGATCTCGACAACGAAAAACCGTGGGAAATTGCTTTTATTAGATGGAAATTTCCTAAGGGCGTTAAATGGGTCAAAATACAAATTAAGGGTAGCGGCGCTCTTTCAAAGACCCCAATAACAGTAATTACCAATAAAGAGTTTTATAAATTTACACGTGAAAATGTTGAGACCAAATACATGATCAAATTTTATCCCGGGTATTCGAGAGACATCTTTTACGATATTGGGACGTCCCATGAATTTATTTTGGGTAAGTAATAAAATTTATTTATTCAATTTTTGAAAATTTAATCGTACTTTTATACCTGAATAAAAATTAATAAAATGTACATGCCTAATTCTAAGTGCCTACTATCTCTAGCTCCATTTAGATAGGACGCCGCGCAAGCCGCTTTGCATGAGGTCACGCACTAGTTAAGTTCGGCCTTGCTGCCCGTCATACGCCATTAATGTTTAAAAATACGTTAAATCTAACTAAGTCAAGATTTCTATTTTCTGTAGACAAATTCCAATTGTTTCCCCGGAGTTCATCGATATAAAAATTGATCAAGAAGAATCGTTGTCAATTGCTCATATAAAATGGATAATGCCAGAAGGCTTGGAATCAGTCAAAGTTCAACTTGTTTCCAAACAAATGGATGATGAGTCTTCTATTCATTTTGATAAAATAATTTCATCTAATTCTGTGCGGATTTCCTGCGATAAAGAACCGAGAAGATATGAACTCAGAATTACATCAGGATGTACATCTCGGAAAGTATTTTCTGACGAGCATTCTGTAAAAACGTTTCAAATAGGTATATAAAATTATGTCTCGCTATCAATTTTCAAAGATTTCGATTTATCTAGATACCCTCTTACTACAAATTGTACTTGCAGGAATTATGTGAAGAACAATTCAACAAGGCGTGATATCTTTTCTACACACCTGAATATATCAGATTCTATATCGAATATATAACGTGGATCGCACAGAGATGAACACAACTAAAATTGTCTCTCTGCCATTGCTGAAAATCTGAAAAGGTTTTCTTTCGAACTTTCTCAAAAAATTCTTATTGAAATCACTGCAGCTTCTCACCCTCCTTCACCTTATCAGTGTTTTAAACTTTCTGCGTCAGGTAAAATTTCCCACAGTATAGGATTATGATTGCAGGCGCAAACTCTTCAGGTGTTCCTCTATATTTAGACAAGTAGAATAGTTTATTATATATTGGTTTAATCTAACCTTTTACCTTATATATTTCATACTTTGTTCAGCTTGTTACACAAAAATAACTTTCCCGCTTAGAAATATTATTTATTGTGTTTTCATACATCAGGGTATCACGAGAAGATTTCAGGGGTACTTGGACTGGATTAGAAGTCGAGTTTTCGTGTTTGCTGTTTTTAATATATTCATTACTACACAGAAGAAAATGCGTGCCGATTAAAACTCAGAAGTAGATAGATATTCCCTGATCTTGCATTATTATGATTGTGAAGCAACAATGTGAAATTCACGATTTTGCAGGCAACAACTGTGACATCTCATAATACAGTGTGCTGCGAGCATGCAGAAAGTGATATGCTCATTGAAACTTGGGGAGAGATTTTAAGAATACATTAGTTAGGCGGAAGAACAAGGGCAATAACATCAGAACTTAATTTAGTTACAGCAGTCAGTCAATAAATTGTTGTTGCAGCAAATTGCAAGTAAATATATCCAAATTTGTTTGGTGACACGATTACCGGTCCGATTTCGCGTTGATTGTTTCGTGACTCGGGGAAGTACTTAACAGAAAAAAAGGTTGAGAACCCTCGTCTACTTTGTAGAGCGGAACGATTTGGTCAATTCTTCATTTATACGTATCCTTACGTTAAAGTCGTGCAGTCGAAAAATGATTTTTTTCTACGAAAATGCCTGTTAGGGCGCATAGCGCTCTAGGCACTATATTTTTTAGAAGGCAGTCGCTCCAGCTACGTAATATAAACGGGTGTTGTCAACAACTGAATATAACTGAATACAACTGAATACACGGCGCGAGGCACGTGACATAAGTCTTGAAAATGAATACTACTGAATATAACTGAACACAGCCGAATACAACTGAAAACAACTGAACAAAACTAAATAGGACTGAACAAAACTGAAGCCAACTGAATACACGCAACGAATACAACCAACCCCGTGTAACTCTGGAAATTTGGTCCCGGTGTTAAATTCACCGTCACGCTCGTTCTGACATATTATTGCTTCGAAAATCATCGTGCGACGTTCTGCGTTTTTCTGTGTTCTGACGGCGCTGTCTCGCGTCAAGACTAACCGAGTGACTTATAAATATTCAAGTTAGTTGTGCACATGGAATATTACACGATATACTTGACTATAGAACTGATAGAATGCAGATTACAAAATAGAAGAACAATCAATTAAGTGGGAAGACCCTAGGACCGATCCAGCACTCGAAAGCACATTGACAGTAAGATTTTGAATTCACTTAACGCTCCCATGAGTAGATGTAGAAGAGAGCCGCTTTGTGCTACGATTGCGGTCTTAACTACTTACTGAATACAGCGCGAAACACCGCAAAGAGCGCAAAACAGAGGGAAACAGCGCAAAACAGTGGGGAAAGAGCGCAAAACAGCTACAGGAGTGGTGACTCCTTCTACGGCCCTTGGGCCGGGGTCACGGGCCCATCTAATTGGGCCACATGGGCCGTGGCCCATAGCTTGATGGGCCGCGGCCCCATCAGGAAAAATTCAATTATCTTAACAAAATTTTCAATTTTACCAAATTGTCAATATTCGAACCAAAAAAATATACTCCTGTAGTATGTGTACCAGGTTAGGGTTAGGACAAAAAAAATTCAGATTTTTTACATTATAGTTCTATTATGAGTTCGGGGACTGTCTGTGTTAGTCAAGTGAATAATTTCTTTACACAACTTGATGGGCCGCGGCCATAGCCTGATGGGCTGGGGCCCAATTCGATGGGCCATGGCCCCGGCCCATGGGCCGCAGAGGAGTCACCACTCCCCCTCCAAAAACAGAGGGTTAGATCAAAAGGGACCTCGCAGAAGTATGTGCACCAAGATGGCGCACAACCTGAAAATAGTATGTCTGTGTGTGTGTGTAGCGGATTCAGGTTGTGCGACATATTGCTGCACATACTTCTGGAGTACCAAAAAGGAAGATAAAATTTCGCATGATGACCTATAATCCGGTACATAACCTTGTAAATATACCGGAAATAGCGCCATAAAACCATGGCGAGAGGCGCCGTGGTTCTTTCGTGCAGGAGGTGGTAATGACTGCGTCTCCTGTTTTCCGCTGTTTCCCTCTGTTTGCGCTGGTTTCCTTCTGTTTCGCTCTGTTTTGCGCTGTTTCGCGCTATTTTGCGCTGTTCCGCGCTCCTTTGCGCTGTTTTGTGCTCTTTGCGGTGTTTCGCGCTGTATTCAGTAAGTAGTAAGACCCCTACGATTGTTCAGCATAAAAAAGAGTAAGTTGTAAATGTTCTTATAGGTACCCAATACAGTAATGATTTGTCAAGGAATGTAAATTTTGATAAGAGAAATGTATATTTTCAGGAAGGAAAGGATCCTAAAAAAGTTGCAGTGTGAAGATTTATGCTGTGTGATCAAAGCAGTGAGCAAGAATATAAATTGACTGATGGGTGATGCTTTATCTCAAAAATCAGAATTAGCTCACACCATATCGATGAAAATGTTCGGTGGAGCAACTAGAACTGTCAGCAAAAAAAGAAATGTGGTGAGCGATACCACCCTGAAATTGTGACTTCTGTATGAAAAACATAAATTAAACACACATATTTTAGCTTAACAATTAATTAGTGTTTTATGATGGAGTTCTACTGATCTTGATAATTTTTTCCCAGACTCATTCTGTCATTGTATACGAAGTCAACAGCTGCATGTTACAACATAAGAGGTGTTTTACGTTTGTCATCATAATCCATTTTGCTTGATTTCCTGCTGGTACCAATAACTTTTTTCACATAAATTAGATACCTATTATTGCTATTATCTAAACATGGCTTAAATATATATATACGGTATTTATAACTTCAGACGTGCCAAAATTTTTGTCGAGTGTTTTTAAATTGTTGATTTGTGATCAATAGCAATAACTTTTTGCCACTGCAAAATCCACGACATTTATTGAATGCATTAATATTTCTCCTGGAACCGTTACATTTTATTAATTCCAATTTGTTTTGTGGGGTATTCAAATTTTTGTTTCAAATAAGACTTTGTCAAAGTGGCTGTTATACTTATATATATAAACACATACATGCTTAGATGGTAGACAAGGTTCAGTTGTTGAGGGCAATTTATTTCAAAATACCTTAACTAAAATATAAATTTTTGCAGACGGCTGGAAACTCACTTTTGAAGAATGATTTGCTCACCAAATGGGGTTTTGGCATGAAAACACATCTAGAGGGAATTTATGAAGACATGTCTAAAAAACGGTTCCATTACATTTGAACCCACGTACATTTGAACCCATGACAATTGCACCTGCATACTATTGCACCTATGGAATTTTTTTGTTTTACGGATATTTGAACCCATACTAACCCTAACCCAATGGGTTTTAGCACGCGCATATAGATTGAACCCGCGGATATACACATGGGTTCAAATGTACATGGGTTCAAATGTACGGTCCACCCTAAAAAACATTTGAAACAGCCATGTAAACTAACAGACCAACATGTTTAACTCAATAGCTTGATGAAAATGTCTGTTAAATATTAAGCAGAGGTATAGCACAAAGAATTGTTTTGGATATTAATTCATTTGTATTTTCCTATTAGATCTATCTCCTATTGAGCAGTTGGATACTTGGATCATGATTTATTATTTCTAAAATTACCAACAGTATTCAGGTCATTATTAACAGGATGAACCGGGTAAATTTTTTTTTTTGTAGGTTCTTCCTTCATCTGTTGCTCGGATTTCGGAAATGTCTGAATTTGAAGCAACTGCCCAGTTTTGCAAACTGCAGAATACCTTTTTTTGACATATGCAACAGCAATACTGACGCGGCTTCCCTCAAAAACTAAAATCTACTACTACTCTCTGAAACATCTGGAGACAAAAGACTGCAGTAGATCAGCCAAAATTTCATAATTATTTTACACACTGGAAGTCTACAACAGGTGATTAGCTCAAGGATTTTTTAACAAAATAAATGCTATAACAGCTACATGCAACATATTTTGTAGTCATATTAATATAAAAACACATTTCATTGCTTCTCCAGCGTAATGAAGGGCTTCAAATACTGGTACCTTCAACAATGTGATATACCATATTAGACCAAACAATCTGTCAGACCCCCCTTTTAAGTGTGAGATAAAAGTCTTCTGAATTGTTTTCTATATCATACATATAAATTTTTTGTGGCTTGAAACACTTTTGTCGTTAGACCATCGGGACTATTATTAACTAACATTTGCCGGCTTCCGATCAGACTTGCTAGGTGTTTTGGTCTAACTCGTCAATTAAAAATTTCAGACCCCCCTTAAAAAACACCAATACCACTAATAACATAACTCGATATTCAGTGTTTAATCAATCACATTAGTAATTAAAATAATAATTTGTATTTCTATGGATTATTGACAAAAATACTGGTACTCCAGAAATACGTGTACCAAGATGACGGACAACGGAACATAGTATGTGTACCAGGTTAGGCCATACTTTTAGGTATAAATACTATAAAACTCACTTGGTTAGTGGTACACATACTACGTTCCGGTGTCCCTCATTTCTTGGTACGCATACTTCAGGAGTACGGAAACTTGGACTGTAATCACATATATCTTGATCTTCGCCGAGCTGCTGTGTTTCTTCAATTGTTTTGTATTCCATGCGTCCTATTGTCCATCTTGTCGTTATTATTTTGGCTGCAGTACTTTGTGTATACATTTGCTCTAATTTTTGTAAATTTTTTGAATACTTTCCAAGTAGTGTTGTTACATCTTGACATTCAGTTACATTGTTTAATAGGTATTCGCTCATGAATAATTTGAAAATATTTTTCTTTTATATCAAGTGTCAGATGTTCAATGATGTGATGATGAAAATATATTTCAGCTGCTTGCATGTGTTGAGACAGCCCTTGTATAATCATTGACTCTTGAAAAGTTAATTTATAGATTGGTTTGATTAATATCTTGACCTATGGATTCCAGATTGTTTTCACACTCACAAAAGCTGCAGTTCGCAAATCACTGGCCCTTCGTTTGGTTGACGCCGTTGAATTCTTTCTCATAATCATCACGGCAAATGTTTTTACGTTTACTCATTACTCATCGATCTTGAGATCGGTAAGTATGTTGCTATAGGTATTTGTCTGTTTGTGTGTTTGTCTGTTAGACACTTTCGTATGTTACTCGATATCACGAAAGCGAAGTTGAATCTCCTCCAAATTTTGCATGTGCATTCATCATATCTCGGACCAAAAGCCTATGGATTTTGGATGAATTATGTCGTATAATTAGCGAGTTAAAAAATTGATTAGTGACGGGACACACGGTGTCACTATGGAGTAAGAGCGCATCAATCGATCGATAAGTCTTCGGTCTCCGACTGATATTCTCGTTTTATCTCTCATGAAGTTTAGATCTAAACTAAATTCAAAGTTTAATTTACTGGTATATTCATTCATAAGGTTAAAAGTAAGGACACACGTCAAAATAAGGATGTTTCTCAGAAATGAGGACAAAAATATTTCCTAAAAAGAGACCTTCAAAATAAGGACAAATTCTAAAAATAAGGACGTTATGGCAGCCTTGATTATAGGTCAAGTGGAGGAAAAACTTCTGTAAAAGCCACAATACTTGAGATGGGGTGAAACCAAAACCACCGATGACTTGGAATCGATTCTTATGTGTTAAAACTTGGATTACCAACAAAGTATAACGTTTTATGACACTTATATGTATAAACCGCTACGTGAAGTTGTTACGACGCACCAAACTTCACTATATTTCAAACACTCTTCTCCCACTCGCTCGTTTTTAAGGGTCAAGGACATGTGCCACATTTCATTCGTATATTTTTTGTCTTCCCTATTGCGTTCATAACTCCTATTTACTTGAAGCAAGTTGCATTAGGAAAAGTGAAACGCCTGTTGCAATTTTAAGTATAATATAAAATATTTACACCTCAATCCGGAAGACCGGAATAGCAAAATAGCTCTCCGATAGAACGAATTAAGCATATGTTGAAAATCTCATCAATGATGGTATAGACCGCTTTGAAGCAAGGGGCGGCGACATTGGTGAATTGACCAGGGAGATGGAGGCTTCAGCTCAGATATCAAAATATTTAAATGACTAAAATTTTGGCACATCAGCGATCAGCAACAAAACAAAAATTCCTATCTAAACATCGCAGTTGTCGTCCAAAGGGATCATAGCTCATTCATCATATCTCGGACCAGAAGCCTATTGATTTCGGATGAATTATGTCGTAAAATTAGCGAGTTATTAATTAATTAGTGATGGGACACGCGGTGTCACCATAGAGTCATGAATCGAAACCGCAGTTTCGATCGAATTCATTTTCTTGGTGTTGTTATGAAAAAATAACCTTTCTCACTTACTTGAACTATTGCTTTAAAATTTTAAGTGGTTATAATTTGTAATATTTTCTCTAGAAGGCTATTACTTTTATTTAATGTATTTCAAAATTTCTGTTGGCTCTAAGGGTTCCTTTTTTGTATGCGATTTAATTTTGGGCTTTATGTCCATATATTTGATCATCGCTCTTTTGTTCGATTTCATATGGTATTGTTTAAGTGGTTATGTTCTCTCGTCAAGCTATGTCCAGGAATCGAGAATCGGAATCGAAAATTTAGGAATCGGACAAGAATCGAATACTTGTAAGTAATCACACTTAGCTACCTTATTCGCGGGACAAAATTTAGGGTTGCTAGTCTTTTGCGGATCGCATACATTTTTTGAAAGGTAAAAACGGAACAGCGCGCGAAAACTGCGACAATTCGTGAACTCAACTCAGTCGTGTTATTAAAAAATTATTATTGTAATGACATTTAATGTGAAGCTGTCTTGTTGCTGAATTACGCTTGATAGCTTTACGAGGACAAGATTGGATCATTCTAAATGGGCATCACTAATTCTAGTTCTTTGTAATGTTCAATTTCGAAAATAATTGTTCGGACAAATATGTACTTCCAAACATCGAAGTGAATATTTTCGCATGGTTTGGGAAATTTTGATAAAGATTTTCTTTAAGAAGATACATTCTTACAAAAATTAAGCAGTGATGAATCTCTCGAATTAAACGATAAGCTGTTCAGTAGAATTCTTAGGATATATATAATAAAATTTAGTCTAAACGTGTCTCACGATAAATTCTGTTACGTAAAAAAATGTAATTTTCTCCTTGAGCGTAGATTATAAATAAAATTAATTCGTCGTCAAAACCGCCGCTTGGATGTCTTCCTGATATATACTTCCTTGTTTACTTCGTGACATTGGCTAATCAGCAAGATGCAAAATAGACGTAACAATGCCCCCTTTCGCATCCGCTCAGACACATTTCTCACTCAAACAGATTTTCAGGTGTGGTCGTGAACATTACCTCATTTTCGAGTACAGTAATCAAATGCACGATGCGCCAAACAAAAACAGATTTCGCGAAATCGCCCCCTTCGACCTTTTCGCTCCCTCTGTATCGTTTTCGCCCACCGGGGGGCGATATCGCCCATTTTGGAAATCACTGATCTAGTCCAGCCAGGGGTGTGCAAACTGCGGCCCGCGGGCCGAATGCGACTCGCAAAGAAAAATTTTACTTACGAGAATTCTTTTTGTTAAAATATTACCTCGGCTAATGTAAGATTTTCTACATACGAAAGGCCGTTGCGACATTGGTTTATTTTAGGTTAATTTAATGCAGTGCTTGAAGCATGGATGTCCGATTCGAATTTATTATTCGAATATCGCAAACTTCGATTAACGTTTTCGTGTTTGTAAGAATACCGAATATGCACACACATTCCAGCGCCGCCGTCAACGCTTGGATTTAAAACATTTTACAATTAGATATTTCATTTTTTATCGCAACCGGAGGCAGTCGTAAGCGCGCGGCAGTGAATTGAGGTCGGCATCGGAGCGCTGACTTGAAGTGCTTATTACATGTCGAGGATGTTTTTGATTGAAAATATTTTACAATTATTATCGTATATTTCAATTTTGTTGAGATATTTTATGCGTCTCGACAATAAATCTAAAAGCAAATTGTGTTGTAATTATTTGTTTTCATCCTTTCATTTTGATAGTGACCGAACATGAGGGCAAATTTTATCATTTCTTGCAATTTAAAGCGTATAAAATAGCTCCTAAATATTATTTAGTATCTATCGCAGCATCGTTGATGACAATATCGTTCAG